GGCGGCCGGCCCCCAGCCCCGGTGGCCACCGGGCGTTTGACTTGTGGCCGGGGCGACCGGAAAACCAAGTTCCAAATCTTACTTAATTTTTGTAAGTTAAATTGTAAAAACCCCGCGCGGCCAGCAGCTGCCGTATGTGACTAGGAGACCTAGCCGGGGTTTTGAGACTAAGTTGTCGGTTCCTATTTCGGTGCCGAGTGGTTTTCCTCGGCGATGCGAGTTGGTAAGTGGACCTGGGGCTAATGTGCCTGGAATAAACCCCGCCGGACTCACCAGCTAGCCTCTCCCGTGGGCTCGGAGCCGGCAGGTCTGCAGTCGGATCCCTTAGCCCCGGGGGGCTGTCGAGGTCGTTGGCTCCGGGGAAAATGATCTGTTTCACTGCTTGCTTGTCTGGGATGGGGGAGTAGTTAACATCTGAGGAAATGGAAGTTGTCATCAATTCTGTGCCCGAGGCAGTGACACACTGGCCCTTTGAGGGTTGTCAGCACTCTTTCAAGTAGAATAGGGACTTGTAACTTTGGAAAGATTACAATTGCAGGGCGGGGGGTTGTTGGAGCGGCATCCCAGGTGTGGCCGGGTCTCGGCTGAGATCCTCGGTCGGGGTGTGCACTTGGTCGGGGTGTGCACGGGACGCAACTGGAGCCTGCACAACCCTCCCTAAGCCCAAACCCCGGGGAGGAATTCCAGAGGGAGCGAAAAGCGTGCTTTTTCGTTGTGACTCTGGAGGTAACGCTAAGAGTGTCGGGGCCTGAGCAGCGTGGCGCAGCCGCGGGGCATCGACCTGTGAGCCAGGAGGTCAGTGAATTCCCGGTCGGGGCACAGGCCCGGGTTGCGGGCGGGATCCCCAGTGTGGGGCGTGCAGGAGGCAGCTGATTAACTATTCTCTCTCAGCATTGATGTTTCTCTCTCTCCCTCCCTCTCTGAAATCAGCAAAAATATATTTTTAAAAAAAGAGTGGTGGGAGTTATGAGTCATGATAAGCCATGAATCTGGTGGAAGTAGGACCCTGGCGCTCTGGCTGCCAGCTGTGTGGTCCTGGGCAAGTAACTTACCTTTTTGAACTCTAGCTTCCTCATTGGTAAGAAGGAGATGAAGGGCACTTTGTAGGGTTGTGAAGATTTACTGAGGGGGACTCTTCCCCCTCCCCATGTGGGAGTCTGTACTTGTTCTTCAGTAAATTTCCATCTTTGCTATACCAAAAAAAAGATTTACTGAGTATACATCTGACTTGTAATTGGCTCTCATTACATGAGAGTTATTCTTGGTAGTGATATTTTGTAGATAGGAGCGATATTCATAGGTTGTTGGCCCGGTAAGCAGAATCTTATGTAAAAATACAAGTAAAAGAAAAAAGTGTTGCTTTTTAAAGCCAGTTGTTCCCCTACTATTTTGAAAATAATCATCCACAATTGTTTGCACTTTGGTTTTCACTTAATTTATATTTGCCTATCTATGTTTGAAAGTTGTAAGCTCTGGTTTTTCAAGAAATCCTAAAGGATAAAGAAATAGACATCCTATATAATAAAAGGCTAATATGCAAATCAACCAGTGTAATGACCTGTCGCTATGAGGCACACTGACCACCAGGGGGCAGACGCTAACACAGGAGCTGCCCCTTGATGGTCTGCGCTCAGCCAAAAGCTGGGCTCATGGCTGGCGAGCGCAGCGGTGGTGGCGGGAGCCTCTCCCACCTCTGGCAACTCTAAGGATGTCTGACTGACGGCTTGCTTAGGCCCGCTCCCCACAGAGTGAGTGGGCCTAAGCCGTCAGTCAGACATCCCCCGAGGCTCCCGGATGGTGAGAGGCGCAGGCCAGGCTCAGGGACCCCCCTGAGGGCAGGAATTTCGTGCACCGAGCCTCTGGTAAAATTTATAATTGAGTAACCAAGTAGTCCTTAGTCTTGGATAGTGGGATCTGTATATCTGTGAAAGCTGAGTGGCCCTTGAGCATGTCAGAAGAAAGGGGGAATGGGTGTTAGTACTGCCCAGCAGCATCCTGTAAGAGACATTTTTTACTTTATTTTTTAATTTGTTGATTTTAGAAAGAGAGCAGTATCAATTTGTCGTATGCACTCCTTGGTTGCTTCTTGTATGTGCCCTGATCAGGGATTGAACCAGCAACCTTGGTGTATTGGGATAGTGTGCTAACCAAAAGGGCCTGACATTTTTTATTTGAAAATAATTTTCTTCATGAATAACGTGAGATCTGAAATATTGGCAGTATTCTGTGTTAGATTGCCACCGTGTAGGTGACTTTATAGTAAAAGTCCAGTTTTAATTCAGTCACCGTTTACTTTGTCAGCACTTAGAATTGAACAGTAGGATAAAATGGTTGTCTTTCAAGCTGAGGGAGGGAATTGGGTATACATTCCATCACCCGTACCACAGTTCAGATCACTGTCATCTGTTTTACTTTGAATGCTCAGTTTTTTTAAGGCTGTATAACTTGTCAATATAACGATGACTAGTGGACTTATGTGGGGCATGTAAGAAAATACAGTTGATCCTTGAACATTGTGGGATTGACCCTCTGCAGTCAAAAATCTGTGCATAACTTTTTATTATTATTGATTTTTAGAGAGAGATTTATTTGTTCTACTTATTTATGCATTGATTGATTGCTTTTTGTACATGCCCTAAATACGGGTTGAACCTGCAACCTTGGTGTATCAGGACAATGCTCTAACCAACTGAGCCACCTACCCAACCAGAGCTGTGTATAACTTTTTACTCCCCAAATACTTAATTGGTAGCCTACTATTGACCAATAACATAAACATCAATATATTTTGTATGTTACAGTTATTGTCTATAATAATAAAAGCGTAATATGCTATTAGACCGTATGTCCTTCCAGACGAAGCCAGGGCTGCGAGGGAAGCCCGGATCCTGGGTGCCTGCCGGGGGCCAGAGGGAAGCTGGTGCCAGCAGCCGGGAGAAGGAAGGCCTACTCTTGCATGAATTTCGTGCGTTGGGCTTCTAGTATACTATACTAGTGATTCGGTGCATGGACTCGTGCACATTGAAAGAAAATTGATTAGAAGAAATATTTTAATATCATTATTCGCCCTTTCTCTGTAATAGAAGTGTTAACCAAACTCACTATTGACAATGACAGATGAAAACACACTCATGCGATTGGCACCAGCGATAGCTTTATATGTATCGTGCATGCATGAGTCAATGTTTATTTTAAATTGCCAGTGTGTCATACGTATGGCTGGCTGGTCAGTCGGACGGTCAGATAGATGTATGGGTGTCACTTAGCCTTTTACCAGGTGTACTGGTTAATAATGCGGATTTTTTTCAATAGAGT